CATCTGCATGTGTGAGTCCTCTCAAGCTGACCTCTGAATGTGCGCTGCTTTGTGGGCATGGGTCTAAGTACCTTTTCTGTGGTGCAGTCACACCTTTGGGGATGGCACAAGGTAGGAACGAGGAGCTGGAAGGGTAGACATGGAAGCTGGCCTGGTGTTAAGATCTCCGGAATGGTACCTTGTGGTACTGTTCACCCCCTCTCACTGTTTAAAATTTAATCTTTTATTTGTGAGTCAGAGGATAACAAATGACTGAGAAACTATGTTCCTCGTCACTTTGTTTGCTGAGATGGTTGCGATCTGTAAATCCCGTTAGAAATGTGTACTCTTTGTGTGGCTTCCTTTTAAAGTCTGGTTTCTTAGAAAACGTGTGTTTTGTTGGGCAACAGGTCAACCCTAGTAAGGGCTGGGTGCTTGTTTATTGACTGTTCAGTTGGTAAACTATGGTAGTGCTTTGGTTTCTAAATCCTTGATGCTTCCATCTTCCTGTCAGCAAAGCATACTGGTGTTGCTTGGCTGAACAGGGTTGACTGTAGCAGAGTTGGCCCCACTGTGTTGAAGAGATGTGACTCAGCTTTAGGTGAGGAAGTTCATGTACTGATAGCAGCGTAGCTCTGGCAGACCCTGTGCTACCATAGCTAAGCACTGACTAACACACGCTGCAGTGGAGCCAGCTGTTCGCAGCTGAACGAATATCCCACAGAGCCGGGAGCTGGGGTAAGGGCTCTCTCTGCGGCAGGGACCTATCCTGCATATTAAGTGTTCTTGCTCATGCACCTCAAGTGTGAGGACCTGAAATGGTTTTCTGCACAGAAGGATGATTTCCTGGCTGTTTTGAATTTTGACCATGTTTGAGAATGATCTGTTTGGCACCTTCAAGGTTTAGCTAGTTCAGTGCACTCGTCTCAAGTGAATTTTGTAGGACGAGTGCAAAGCTGCTTGGGCATACAGAGTTCTCTTGTAGTGATGTGAGATTGTTGGATGGTGGCTCACATTACCTTTTGTTGCTCCGTGATTTCTAGAGAATTTACTTTGTACTTCCTGTTGTTTGCATCTTTAGGGTTAAGTTCTTTGTCTGGCATGTTTTGGAGCTGATTTTGAAAGCTCTAGACAGGGAGAGAGGAGGCAGGGCCAGCTGGAACAGAGCATACAGGAGGGGCCCTACCAAACTGTTAGTGCCTTGGAAGGCAAAAGCTCTCTGGTGCCAGATCTCTCAAATTCATTATATGTAATGTAGTTATGGCCTCTGCTGGAAAAATCTGCTGTCTTCATGTCATCTGGGTGGACAGAAACACACAGCAGGCATATACCTTCCTTGCACAGTGCCCTTGCATCTCTAAGGTGCATCATGTTCAAGCAAGAAAATGGGTTCTGATCATAGCCAATGTCTGTTAATATCTTTATGCCTCTTAAAACTGTTATTTCCAATGACCCCTGCTACCATTGTGGAGGAAATGATTCTCATTTACCTGCTTTACAGAAAAATAACTAAAAGCTGGTACAAGGCCACTCCAGGGAGCAGAGGACTAAGATAGAACAATGTGCTATAGCTCCTGTACCACAGCGTGACTAGAAGTCTGTGTGTATAGATAAACACATGTGTAGCCATCATGTGTCATGTGCATGAGCAGCTCATGAAGGAAGCTTCTTGCACAACCTGACTTGATGGGGGGGATGCTGGCTTCTTGGTCACATAGTAAGCTTTCTAAGTCATGGTGGGGAGCATTTGAGGTATGTAGTCCTGCAATCCCTTCTTCAGAGGCTTTGAACTCTGCTGAGAGGATTTTTTTCCCCTGTGGCTGCACAGGGTCATAAGTAGAAGTTCTTGGTAATCATTGAGTGAACAAATCAAGTCTGTGAGAACAGTGATTCATGTCTTCAGGGTTAGAGATTAGAGGGTTAGTCCTCATGGATTACCTAAGCATGGATCGTGTTTTATTTGGCCAGACCCTCTGTCTGCTGGAAAATACAAACATGCCTGTATATATGATTTTAAAAAATTACTATGGGGCATTTGGAGTTGACCCTTTTATTTAGACGGCCTAGCATTTCCCATACAAAAATTGTGACCTTTCACTAAGGACCTCTTAAAACTTCCATTGTTTGCAGTAGGCTGTTGACATTTGGTAGGGGAAGCACCATCAGCGAACAAAGTGCCTTTTTATGTTCCACTAAATTAGATTCAGCTTTGAAGGAGATACAAACTGTTAAAATGAACTAGGTTGTTTTTGTTTGGTTTTTTTTTTTACTGCTTTCATTCTTCAGGGAAATTCTGGCACACTACCAAAAAAAAAAAAAAAGTGCCTCCAGTGCTGGAGCTGCTGTAACCGATGCAGCAGTGAGGACAAGAGTTGTGGTGTTAGGAGCTATCAGAGCAGCTGTGCCAACGGCCACAGCAGAGTCCTGAAGAGTTGAGCACACATTGTCCTGCCTCACGGCCATGTTGCTTTCTTCCAGGGAATTTCAGAGAGCAGGAAACCCCTCCCCAGCAAACCTCAGTTAGTCTCTGTTGTCTCTGTTTCTTCTCTCCCGAGCAGGTCCTTCCCTCCTGCCTCTTCAAACACTCCTAGGTAGAAAAGAGATCAGGGCAGTTTACACGGGTGGATGTAGCTCGTTGCAGGAGTTATCAGGCTCGTGCTCACTGCAGCCGCACAGTTTGGTGATCTGAATTCTGTCATCTAGGAAATGATGTACCACCATCATCTACAGGGCAGGGAGACAGCCCTGCCACCTCTCATGGAGCTAGGTGAGGCTGCTCACATTCAGCCTTACTGGCGGCTTTTTGTCAGAAATTAAACGCACAAGGCAGGATTTCCTGTTGGTGTGGAAAGCCTGCGTGGTGACCCAGCCGAACGGGGCTGGCAGGCAGCGCTGGCACTGATACCCGAGGATCCAGGCCCAGTTGGGTGTGGAGAAAGGGGAAGATGGCACGGCATAATTGTGCACCAGAAGCTGCACAGTTTGTTCTCTTTTGAGATGATTCTAATGAGGTAGAAAATGGTGATTTTTTTTTTTTTTTTTAATGACTTTGAAGATTCTGAAAATAATCTTGGCATTTGCATTTATTGAGAGCCCGGCTGTTTCAGCATGTGTGGCAAGGCTAGGCTGCTGAGCTGATCTGGCAGGGACAGATCCTGCTCTTCAGCAGGGTGTGCTGCTTTCCACTTCCTATTGTCTCTCAGGGCCCTAATGCTCACCTGACCCTTTGAGCCACTTCAAATCAGTAAATAGTCAGAAACTTTGTATTTATTCCTCTTGTTGGGCTAGTTTTTCCACAGGATCGGTGAGCTGTATCAGTTTATCTACAGGTGAGAATGAAGACTTGGGCCAGCTTTAGGGAGCTGTTGAGACCAGACAGGGGGGCAGGGACAGCCTTTCAGCAGCCGTGAGCTGTTAAATTGGTTCAGCCCCTATCATGTAATGACACTGAAATAGTCTACTAAGAAAGCAGTTGTGACTGATTTCTTTCATGGCAGTGCTCAAGCCATATGCAACAAAGAAAACAAAAAGCAATCAACGGTTAATTGCCTTTATAGACAAGCCCACACCAAGCATAGGATAGAAATCGGAGATGTATTTTAGGTGTGACTGGCACAGAAGCGGTCCGAAGAGGATCCAGCGTGGATGAAGCCTAAGCTATTGAGATGTTGAGGTTTCAAGGAAGAAGCATGTTTACGTTAGCATTATTCAAACTTTGTGTAATGTGGGATATTGTGAATTAAATTGTTCTTGGGATGAATAGAAGATCAAGTATTGTCCTTAAACAATAGAACAGCAAAAACAACATCTGTGAACCAACATTTGTAAAAGAATATGACTATCTCCTTTTTAAGAATGGAGAATAGAAGCAGACAAACTATAGCTAAAATTGTTGGAAGCATTTTGTTTGCTTAAAGACAGTTGTGGAATACTTGTTCAAGGGACTTAATAGCTTTTTATTGCTTTATGTATTCAGAGCTTCTCCTCAGTCATCATGGCTCACTGTTGTAAATGTTTGATGTCTGCAAATCTGGCTGCAAGTCCTTCAAGCAGGGCACCCACAAAATGAGCATTATACCCATTTGAATCTGAATGGAAATTTTAATTTAAAAAACCCACAAAAAAAGCCCACAAAAAACTAAATCCTATGTTAAGAGCACTGTGACAAAGTGAAGAGTGTCCCAGTGCCCAGAGGCTGTGTCCGTCATCTTTCCTAACTGTGAAACCGTCCCCTCTTTTCTTGCTGACCCTTCCTTCATTTGCTGACATCTTTAAATCTTCTCCAAGCAGTGAGATCAAAACTATGTTGATGGAAGCTTTTGTAAATAATGGGGTAGGAGAAGTGCTCAGATACAGCATTTGTCTGAGTGCAGTATACATCTCTAGAATTAAGACTGCTCTGTATATGTGCTCCTGAAAATTAGTCTTAGACCTGTCTTTCTGGAGAGCAGACCTCAAGTTTGGAAATGCAACATTGATGCTTCTTGAGGACAGAGCATTGCAGAGCTCTGTTAAAGTGGTGATGTCTTTACCTATAGGTTACTGGTTTGAATATGACCAGTTCAATAAAAACATTTTTAATGTGTTCTGAGGTGAAGGATACTATCCATATGTTGTTCCAGAGAGTGTGGTAAAACTCCTTTCCAGCTTGTAGCTCTCATTTCCCATTTTTGCTCTGTGCTAAGCAAGGGAACTCTTTGGAACCAGTTGTTGAAACAGTGTGGAGTAGTGGGGCCCTGCTCTCCTCGGGGTCTCCAGGCTGAGGCAGAGGTCAGAGTTGTATCGTAAGTTATAAACTTGCATAGGTTATTGACAGCCTGCTGTATGTCACAGTTTGAAGTTGAATGATCTTTTTTCTGAAAAATAAACTCTTGGGGGTTGGCCATTTTAATTGTTTCTGAATTTACCAGAAATGGAAATACTCTTACCTGTCTTCTTGCACTAAGCCAGCCCCCAAAAGGTAGGAAAAACGGACTGACAAAAATAAATCTTTTTTTTTTTTCTCCCTTGTCTCTCCACAGCAATTCGGCAAAATCCTTGATGTAGAGATAATCTTTAATGAGCGTGGCTCGAAGGTAAGTCCTGTTTCTGTACCTGCTTCTCTTGTTTTGATTGCAGAGTAAAAGGCAGTTCAT